ATGGTGAAACCCCATCCCTACTAAAAATACAAAAAAAAAAAAAAAAAAAAAAAAAAAATAGCCAGGCATGGTGGCATGTGCCTGTAAATCCCAGCTACTTGGGAAGCTGAGGCATGAGAACCGCTTGAACCTGGGAGGCAGAGGTTACAGTGAGCCAAGGTGAAGAAACTGTACTCCACCCTGGGTGACAGAGTGACACTCAGTCTCAAAATAAAAATACATACATATATACATACATACATAAAGCAAGCTACGAAGAAAAGTTCAGTTTAATTCACTTGCCATCTAAGTAACAAAGTATGAATTCATACAATAGCCACAGCCTGGTAAACGCTTGAATATCTTAAAATTACCTGGTTTTAAAACCCTGCAGTCACATGTAACAATTTAGCCACAACTCAACAGCCACAAATCAAATTTTTCATGGATACACAACAGATAATCTAATCCTAGTAGTGATATAGGTCCATGATGTCTAAAATTCTGGAGGGAAAACACAATAACCACTCCTTTAAGAAGACATGTCAGGTTATTTTGCTTGGATAGCTTGTTTCCACAAGCTGTTATGAACTGCTGTTATGAATGAACAACTCAATATTTATGGATTATGGAGGATATAAAGGTAACATTTGAATTGCTTCACATGATTCATCCTCACGGAACACTTTCAACTCCTAAATATTAAGAATCAGACTTACGTTTCTTGTGAATAAAGCTAATAGGTTGTGCCCCCACCACTAACACTCATTGAAATTGTTAAAGCTCAAGTACAGTCTTATCCTATATCCTAAGAAATAGTAGTTTCCTTTTTTTTTTTTTTTAATTTATTTTAAAGACAAAATGCTACCTTTTGACAGTTGCTCTTTGGTCATCTCCAAAGCTAGCAATCTAATTTTGTCAATAAAACTTACCTGAGCCAGCCTGGCCAACATGGCAAAACCCTGTCTCTACTAACAACACAAAAAATGAGCTGGGCATGGTGGCTCTCCCATGTAATCCCAGCTACTTGGGAGGCTGAGGCAGAAAAATCACTTGAACCCAGGAGCTGGAGGTTGCAGTGAGCTGATAATGCACCACTGCAATCCAGCCTGGGTGGCAGAGTGAGACTGTCTCAAAAAAGAAAAAACTTATCTGGGGCACAGCCTGGTTCTCTGTCCCCTCCATAGACCTAATACGGTGTGTTGTACATTATAAACACTCTGTGAAGATCTATTGAGTTGATTTCAAAAATGTTGGTATTTTGAAAAATTTCCCCCATCCATGCTTAGGAAATTTAGAGTTAAGAGCTGAATTTCCCACCAGTGATGCATTGCTGACCTAAAAGCCATCTTTTTACAACTCCAACATCACTAATCTTAGCATAATACTCTGTTTCTCAAAAAGCCTTCTCTGAATCCCACTGCCCAGAGGATTAAGTCCAAATTCATCATACTGTTTAAGCCTGCCACAATTCTGCCCTTCTCTTGCTTCCTAACCTTTTCTGCAAAGACTTCCCAGGATGAACCCTTGATTCACTTTATCCAACAGATGATGTTTATTCCCTCCATGGCTTGTGCAATTAATCATCGCAGGAAAGACCTTCCCACTCCATTCCCTCAGTGAATCCTGCTGCACTCCCATCAGGGCCTAACTGAAGCCCACCTCTGTGAGCTGTGTCAATTTTCCCATGAGAATCTTTTTAGGCACCCATGATTTGCACACTTTTTCACTGTCTCATCCTCTTCTCTGTATGTCACTCTAGACACTTAAAGGGCATGGGCCAAGTCTGATACTGTTTTTTCTCCCACGTAGCCCTTCAGGCATATTAGCTGATTAGGTGCTCACAAATACTTGTTGAATACATTGTTTATATGTGACTGCAGGGTTTTTAAACCAGATAATTTTAAGATATTCAAGCTTTTACCAGGCTGGAATATAAAGCTAGGTCTCTGGGTCTCCTATCTAAAAACAATTAGTTTAAGAAAACAATAAAATGTCATGCACTTTTTCTATCAAACAATTTTAATTCTGTAACTTAAACCTTACAGAACTGTCTTCCTACCCCCATTCCCACAACCACATCTTACATCAACCACAACTGAAAGTGACTTTTACTCCTAAGATTTTGCTTCCATCAGTCAAAGGTTCACATTAACATTCTCCAGTGCACAGCCATTGTTCTACCACTTTGAGGCTAGAGCCCAAGGGCACAGTGGTGAGAACAAGGAAGTTCTCCCTTCCCAGAAGTCAGGAAACCACTCTCAGCTACCCTTTCTGGCAACAGGAAGTTGATGCAAGGACGGGAAATAATTAATGATTTTCAGCTGTACAAGGAATAGGCCTCTTCAGAGATTTTTGTTCTTAAGAATTACCCAAAATGGCTCTAAGATTTAACAGTGGTAAAGAATGATATTTTTAAAAAGGTCTGCTGAACCTCAAAGACAGTCCACTTTTAAAAATACTGTTGGTTGGCGCTTTCCTTAAAACAATCAGGTTTAAAGAAAAACAGGTTATAGACCCAGCAGCCAACACCCAGCAGCCAACACTCTGGCCACTCGAAGGTCATTCTTTGTTCTGAAAATCAACATCAACTACCAGCCCAGTGACATACTAGCTGCTGAAAGAGTGCCACACAAAGAACAAGAAGGTACTATTTCACAGTTAATAGAGTTCACATCCAAAAAGGGGCAAACAGCTGAATGAAGACTGGAGCTAAATAATCCTGGGACCAGGCAAGGACACCATAGGGCTTGTAGGTAAACAGAAAAAAAGTCTCATAGGCTGACAGAATGTCAGAGCAGCACTGAACCTTAGACACCATCCTGTCCATTCCTCATTTTATAGTAAGGCTCAAAGAAGTAAAACAATTGGCCCGAGACCAGAGAGTCTGTCCCAAAACTCAGGTCATTCACCTCAAGGGAAGGAGCACCTAAGTATTACTTTCCCTGCAGTTTAGTGAGTCATGCCCAGGTCAACAGAGACCCACTCACATTAACACCAGCAGAAAGCCAAGGCTACCCCTGCCCCACACACAGGAGTGGGGAAAAAGAACATCTGAACAGTCCTATTAAAAGTCAGTCTTTTTAGACTTCTCAAAGAGAAAAAAGAGCCATTAAAGATCCCAGTCTTAAAATAACCAGACTATTTTTCTTACCTTTCTTGCAGTTCCACTTAGTAACCAATGCATTTTACATTCTAACGACTACTGTCAAAACAGGATTAAAAACCTGAAACAGCACCCTCAGACTTGCTGGACTATCCCAGCTATATATCCTCCCAAAGAATAAATGAAAACCCACATTTTGAAAATGTTGTCAAAGCGGTACTAGAAAGCAAATCAAATGATCCAGTATTCAGTTTAACTTTCTCTTTTCTCTCTCCAATCCATTCTCTACCCAGCAGCCAATGTGTTCAAAATATACATCTGATCAGGTCACATTCCTGCTTAAAACTCTCCAATAGCTTCCTCTCAAGCAACTTTTGATTAAGACCAAAATTTCTGGACCTCAGTCCAATGGCTCCTCCCACCAACTCAGCTGTCTCTCTTGTGAGATTCCATAGCCATGTGCACTGCAGCAACAGTGTGAGTTCCTCCAGTGAGGCCAGCTCCTTCCTACCCTAAGATGTGGCACAGCTTTCCCCATTCCTGGAACACTGTTCTCTCTCTCCCCACTCTGATCCTGATTTTATCCCCTCACCTTCTTTTCCTTCTAGATATCAGCATAATTATTCCTGTCTTCTCAGGAAAGCCTTTCCTGACCACTGTTACCCACCTTCCTGGCACAAGCAGCCCTCCTTTGCAGCACTTACTGTCATTAGAATATATTATTTTTGTGATTCTTTGATGAATGCCTGCATCCTGCAGTCAGTCATAAGGCCCATGAAGGTGGCAAACATATTTGTTCTTCCTCATCATTGTACCTACAGTACCTAGCAGATAAATATTTATTGAATCACTAATTTAATTAAAGAAGAAACAAACAAATGATGGGCCTAAAAGGGGGAGCTTTTAGGAAGCAGAGAAAGATTAAGGGAAGGTTTAATCCCTTCTTAGCCAGGCTTTCAGCATTTCAGACAGGTACATGTAGAGTACTTTCACAAAGGGAAGGGTGGAAAAAAGCGGATCTTTAATAAAGTGCTAAGAAAATAAAACCAAGACGATTAATACATACATTAGCCTTTTAATTTAAAAAGAAAAAGCTATTCATTTTTCAATCAACTTTTAATACTACTTAAAAAGTTGCAGTGATTCTTAGTACACTTGAGGATTACCTCAGCAACAGGCAGGTCACTACCCCCCAAAACTACAAGCATTCCCACCAAAAAATGGTTACATTTTTCTCTGTCTAAAAGTTTCTTTACATATTCTTTGCAATGGTAAGTTAGAAGCCTTAGACCAGCACTATCCAATAGAAATATAATGTAAGTCACAATTTTGTAGTAATCACATTAAAAAAGTAAAAAGAAACGAGAAACTAATTTCAATAATACGTTCTCTTTTTTTTTAACTTTAAAAAAAGAAAATAGGGACAGGGTCTCGCTGTGCTGCCCAGGCTGCTCACAAACTCCTGGGCTCAAGTGATCCTCCTGCCTCAGTCTCTCAAACTGCTGGGATTATAGGCATGAGCCACCACGCCTGGCCTACGATATTCTTTTTAATACAAAATATCTAGTATATTATCATTGCTACATGGAATCAATATATTTAAAAATACTGTATTAACAAAATATTTTACATTTCTCTTTTTTGCATTTAGAAATCCCCTGTGTATTTTTCACCTCCAAACTATCTCATCAGACTAGCTGTATGCGGCTAAGTGGCTACCACAGTGATAGAGGAGCCCCATACCAACCACACTTCTGATAAATTATTTGCTCTCTTCCTTTAAAAAACTTGCAGAAAAAACTTTTAATGTTCCCTGTACCAGGCAAAGCAACAATGGAAAGCGGATTATATATTCACTACAAATGACTGAAAAATAAAGAAACCAATGGTTGCATGTACATTAGTATAATGATACCTTCTTAATTCGTTCATGACTTTAAAAGCTTTCTTCATATGCCAAGGATTCACTGTCACTGGGCAGTGTTTTTCGGTATTATCATCTTTTGAATCGAGAGGCTTCTGATGACCCTGCTTTGTGCATCTGTACATAAAATAAAAGAACAAAAACAGAAAAAGATCTTATTAAAGATCATTTAGTTCAGCTTATCAAGCTACAAGAGATACAATGAGTGTCTCCTTCCCCTACTTATGTAAAGGAAGTCTTATGTACAGAATATCCCAATGTAAGGTTAAGACTGCAGAACACTTTCTGAGGGATGCTACGGTTTCAATTAAAAAGTTCATAATTACCTCCCTGGTGTCAAAGTTCTGTCAAAGATGAACACAGAATATTCAGTAAAAGTGGCTTAGCGGATATCTTCAAATAAAACTGTTGAGAAATGATCATCTCCATTGGAAATTAATTTGCTTTTACAATGTTTTATAGTCATGTTTTTAACAAACCAAGACAGAACAGGATCATATTTTACGCAAACTTCAGAAACTGAGAATCTGATTTAAATTTTGCTCTCCACCTGCCAGGGTATATTTACCCTATAGATTTTGGACCTACACTAACAAGAGATTAGTCATGTTAGTTAAAAGTTATTGAGTATTTACCATATGGCAGCCACTGTGCTGAGTAGTTTACTTTTATTATTTGGTTAATCCTCACAACAACTCTCTGAGCAAATTACTATTATTATCTCCATTTAACAGATGAAGAGAACAGTCTGAGTAACTTGGTAAATAGTAGGGCTAAGAGTACGGCCAGTCTGATTCTCCATCTTGTTCTTTTCACTAATGTTTCAATACCATTTCCTACGCTGAACAATGAATATTTAAACTTACATGTTTAAGCACACAAGGCTATACTAGCATTGATACACGATTATTCTTCCAAGACTTAGGACCAAAAAATCAACCAAAAAAATCAGGGTCCCACGAGGAGAGGGGGCAGAGAATTAACTACAAATTAATAGACAAGAGAGAAATTTTTGAAGTAATGGTTATAAAACTTTATAAATTTAATAAAAATCATTGGATTGCACAATTACAATGGGTGGATTTATGGTATGTAAATTATACCTCAATGAAGCTATTACAAAAAATCAGGGCACCAATTTTTTAATCAGGTTTAAAAAATGAAGTCTAAAAATATCATACTTGTATATATATCAAAGAACAAGCAAACATCATTAATTGCTGCACTTCTCTTCCTTTCCTGATCCATTTCTAAAAGGATGATTCATTTTTAAACATTATCATTCATTAATTCATTCAGCAAATTTTTTTTAGTGCCAACCATGTACCAAGCACTATTCTTAAGGCACCTGGAATACATCAGTGAATAAAACAAAGATCCCTCTCCTCACAGAGCTTGGAGTCTGGTGGGGGAAAGAGGAAAACAACACAAGTCAGGGAAGCAACCAGCATGTTAGGAACTGGTGTTACGGAAATAGAAAACGCAGGGCAAGGTAAGAGAGTGAGAAATGTGGGGATGCCACGTGGAGGGGTGTAATCTGCAGAAAATAGGGTGCTCAGGGAAGGCCTAGTTGTGAACTGAGATTTGAACAAAAGACTAGAGGGTGTGGGAACATCCAGTTGGAAGTAATACCTACAGCAAAGGCCAATATGTGCCTGGTATGTTCCAGAAACTATGACCCATGCAGCTTGAGCAAAAGGCTAGGGCTCAGCAGGGGAAGGGGGTGCAGATCATGTAGGGCCTTTTAGGACATCCAAAGGCCTTTTACTCTGAGTGAAATGGGGAGACACCGCAAAAGAGTGACACAATCCAACATATGCTTTCCAAAGACCACTTTGGCTGCTGGTTGAGAACAGTCTACACAGGTCAAAAGTTAAAAGGGGGCAGCTATTTAAAAGGATATTATAGTAATTCAGTAAGAGATGACTGTGGCTTAGGGAGAGTAGGAGCAGTGGAGGTGATGAAAACTGGCTGGGTTCTGGACACTTTGACGATGCGGCCAACAAGATATGTTGAGACAACCATATGACATGTCAAGGAAAGATAGAATGACTCCAAGTCTTTTGGCCTGAACAAGAGGAAGGACTGAGTTTCTGTTCATTGAGCAGGGGAAGGCTGCAAGTGGAGACTGGGATAGGAAGATCAAGAGCTGTTTTTATACATACTAGTTTTGAAACGTCAAACATCCAAGTGAAGGCATCAAATCATCAGATAAATACTGGAGTCTAGAGTTGAAGAGAAAAGTTTAGCTGGAAGCAGAAATGTGGGAATCATTGGTTACATGGATGGCACATGATGTCGCAAAACAGGTACTCAACATTAAGATAACCTCTAAAATTAACCAAACCCTAAGCCCCAGAATCAGCACTAATTGAAGCACCTGACTCTCTGAGGGCTTGCCTACTACAAGTGAACATCAGTTCTACTTCCTCACCATTTGAGACTTTTCAAGGGGCCTAACAAATGAGCACAAGACTCTGCCTCCAGAGGGAAAGCCCACAGCTGGAGTGGGAAAATAAGGAGGTGCCGCTCCACTCCCTAGGGCCTCTTGAAGGTGTATGTGTGAAGAATTAGTTACACTTAGTCGAAGAAAGAAAAAGCACTGGTAAGCCTAGAAGCCAAAAAGAAGGAAGAACATTCACATCTAGAGGGAGAGGACTGAGGAAACACTTAATAGTTTAAGACAGATACTCTCATTCTACTTACAAAGGAAACAGTAGGAAACCGGAGAAAGGGGAAACTGCATAGATATATGCAACCCATGCAAACTTCCTGACCATGTAACACTGAATGTACATATACTATAGTAAGGTAACACTTATTCTATAACTGCTTCCAGTTTAATAATTTAGAAGGTGACACAAAGGAAGAATGGTATGCTGAAGATTAGCAAAACTATCATAAAAGAATTTTTCAATGCTGAAAGTAGAAGCAAAAGGAACTCTGCCCCAGAAACAGTATCATTGTTTAAGAATCAGGAGTGTTCATATTTGCTTAAGAACTTAGGAATTAAAAATCCCTGCACTGGACAATTCACTTTAAGACAGCTGCCGTACAACAATCAATGCCCATATTGGTGCTCTCTTAAACCTATTTTCAGCTCCTGCTTTTTCTAATGTAGTACAGAAACTCTACAAAGAAGACTTTATTCAAAGGCTTAAAGGAATATGAAAAAATGCTGAATTTTCTCAAGTGTTCTCTGTACTGAGAGCCTCTTACAAATACATCACCTCTTCTGCACACGTCCATTTTCTTTTTTTTTTTTTTTGAGACGGAGTTTCGCTCTTGTTACCCAGGCTGGAGTGCAATGGCGCTATCTCGGCTCACTGCAACCTCCGCCTCCTGGGTTCAGGCAATTCTCCTGCCTCAGCCTCCCGAGTAGCTGGGATTACAGGCATGCGCCACCATGCCCAGCTGATTTTTTGCATTTTTAGTAGAGACGGGGTTTCACCATGTTGACCAGGATGGTCTCGATCTCTTGACCTCGTGATCCACCCGCCTCGGCCTCCCAAAGTGCTGGGATTACAGGCGTGAGCCACCGCGCCCGGCCTTTGCACACGTCCATTTTCAAAACTAATGCCCTTTCCACAATTTTCCACTCCCCCTATGTGGCTTTGTGTTAGATAGCTTCTCATTCAGAAGCAGAAAAGAAAACGATGCATAATGTCTAAAACTATAGATGAGAGAAACGTACATATACTAGGAACAACCAGTTAAGTGAGAGGTTAAGTGAGAGGTAAAGGTTTTGCCCTTTAGGTTGTACCACATTAAATCCAGAATTACACCTTTGCCCTACTTCCCTTCTGAAGCAAAGTGCAGGCTTTTCCAGAAAAAGCTTCCAATTCTGAAAACTGTCTTCTTTAAAATATGTGAAGAAGGTTATTTTTTTTTCAAGTTCCTTTCATCTTTAAGTCTTTCCTCAACTGTTACAGTCCTCAAGTAGTCTTGCAATTATCCAATAGCCTATTGTTATCAACACATACTCTAAAAATTGTTGGTTTCACAGGGTTTGAATCCCAGTGTACTGCTATGTTCTGTAATAGATATCCTAAAGCCTTCCTTCAGTGACTAACTTCTGCAAATTCCCAGCTTTGGAAAAGGTTGGCTTCTCAGATGAGATGAGTTTCTAACTCTGCCTAAGAATACACTATTAATGACAGCTGAATTCCCAGAGAGGAAGAAAATAAGGACTCTAACATGGCATCTCCCTCAAATAGTCAAGATTTCCAAACCAGGCAAAGGTTTAAGCCTACTGTAACAATTCTGAGACCACCACAGAAATGAGGTATAATTTCATTAGATATTTATTATTGGCTTTGGAATAATGGTTTTCAGTAGAGTGAAAGAGAAAGATCAGAATCACCCAAGCAGCTTTTGCAAGCCACAAATAATCACCCCTTCTCATATGAAGAGTCAGACAAGCCCATTTTAGAATTAGTTATATGTATATGATGGCATCTCCAGGGGTAAAAAAGAAAAGGGTAAAGGCAGCAATGCATGATTTTTAAAAATAATAACACAAGTCATATAATATGCCCCACCACCAACTTATCTCCCACCCCAGAATCATCGCAGATCAAAAACAAATGCTTTAGAAAATATGGATTGTTTATATTTTTAGAGTTTTCTGGTAAAAAAAAAAAATGCAACAATTCATGTGAATGATGCAGCTGCAAAGTTTAACAGGGGACCAAAGACATTTTCACATTTAGGACATAGATACTTGGCCCCTGGGTGGCCACCATCACTGTTCTCCCCTCTCCTTGTTCACTCAAAAGCTGCAAGACTCCCCTGCTTGCAATGAGTCACCCACCATTACTCACAAATGTCTGCCAAGTTCGCGTCAGCAGCTGTTGTTTTCAAAGTCAACATCCATGCTGTACTGTTTTGAGGTTTCTCCATTACTTTATATTATTTCTTCTACGTACTGTATTTCTCTTCTGTCTTCCCAGCTACATTTGCATTCAGAAGCAGGCATCTTATTAGCATTGCCCTCATAGACAAATCCAGAATATCAGAAGTAGAGAGTCAACCATAACTAATATTTTAACTAAAATTTGTTACGTCATTCTATAGTTTCTCAACAAAATATTCTCACATCCTTCAAACAAATAACC